CCCCCCCCCGACCCCAACCCACCAACACCAACACCGGCGCCCGACAAACTTCACTAACGCTCGCCAACCACGGCTGCGCCAAACCGATGGAACCGATCATACGCATCGGTGAGGACGCTACCAGAGAGCGAGCGCTGCAGGACAAAGCTCATCATCTTGGTCTGGAGCCAGCCCTTGTCGGCGGTCGAGTGGATCTGCGACGAGACGTTGAGAGCAAGGGCCTGGAGCTCGCGGATGTAGTCATGCCGCTGCTGCGACCATGTCCTCAGCGCGGCCGTCGCGCTGTCGCTGTCGCAAAGTGCCGCGCCAATCGAGACGCCGTCGTCGATTGCCAGCGACGTGCCGAGACCAAAGACCGGAAGCATGGCGTGCGCGGCAGAGCCAACCAGGGCCACAGGCGCCCGCGTCGGCGATGTGTACGTCTCGAGCGCCACATGCGGTGGATACCGCATTTGAATAAACTCCGACTTGCTCGCATCCAGCTCGTCGAGCACTGCCCGCACCTGCGGTGCCTCAAAATCCTCGTATGCTGCCAGGAGCTGCTTCCGCCGCACCTCGTGCGAGAGCGGCGGCGGCTTGGGCGATTTGGCCGCAAAGGTAAACATGACGTACGCCTTGGTCGGCGAGACTGGCACAATCCGCACCGCCCGCCCGTTGTCGATCACATGGCTCAGTGCGCTCATGTCGATGCCCGCAGCCTCCGGCACATCCACAATGGTGTGCCAGTAGCCCCACCCGCCGTACAGAATCTTTTCACCGCTCGCCTCCTTGTCGGCAAACGCCAGCTCACGCGTCTTGGACCCAACTCCGTCGGCGCCCACCACAGCTTGCAGAATGGCCTGCGAGGTCTGCGCTGCGGCGCCCTTGCCGCGGTCGATCCGAGCCAGCAGCGCCTCTGACTCTGAGATGGGATCAATCGCCCCAAACGTGGCCTCGTGCACAATTGGAATTTTGCGCGCCACCGCCGCGTTCCACATCACCTCATGGAGGACCCGTGATGAAACGCCGAGCACCGGGGCGCCCGCAGGCAGTCCGAGCCTCACAGCAGCCGCGTGGTAATCGAGCTCCGCCAGCACTGATCCCTTGCGGTACACCACCATCCGATCCAGCGCCACACCCTGCTTGTCCACATCCGGCACTCCCAGAGCCTCCAGTTGCGCCACCGCCCCATGGCTCAGCACCGTACCGACTCCGGCGTACTCGGAGCCGTAGCTCGAGTGCGGCGCGGCATCGAGGACCATGGCCTCCCCACCGCGCGCAGCCAGCGCCAGTGCCGTCGCCAGACCCGCCACGCCGCCACCTGCCACGCCCACCATCCGTGCGCCTGCCGCCTGCTCCGCCACACTCTGTCCTGTCTCCTCCCCGCGCGCTGCTCCTCCTCGGCTCCGCCGGCTCTGCCTGCTCTCCTTGCGCGCCTTCCGGCTTGTCTTGCCCGACGCACTCCGCACACTCCCACAAACCACCACCCGCCGCCAACCTCCGGCTGCTCCAGCTGCTCCCGCCGACAACCGCAGCATCACTCCTCTTCTCCTTGTCTCGAGTTGGATGTCCCCTCCCCGTCCCCACCCCCCACCCGACCCCACACGCCTCATGTCCCACCTCGGCCTGGATGCGGATCGCCCACGCAACACGCCACACGCCGCCCGCGCTCATCACCGCTACCTGTCTCGCCACCACACATCGAAGCCCTTACACACACACCCTCTCTCTCTCTTACTCCTCGCTAGACAAGCTCCCACTTGCGCTGTTGGTCTCATCGCTGCACTCGCTGCTATGGCTGCTTGTGTGGCTGATAAGCTCGAGGTGAGCCAATGGGCGGGAGACGTCGCTAAGCTCCTCGTTCAGCTCCGCGTTCTGGTCGCTGCGCACAAGAATGAGCTTGCGCATCCGACTGCATGGCCGCTGGTGGCTACTGCTCTGGGCGGTGCGCCAGGTGTCGAGGTTGATGTTGGCGATGGGCGAGAGAGTGCCCGTGCTGCCGCTGGTGTGCTCGTCGGTGGAGCCATCAAGCACAGCCCGACGCCCGAGTCGGTCGAGCTCATTAGCTTGATGATCGGGGCAGATGTGAGGCCCTGGATCGACCGCGCCTCTGATCTCGCGCGTGGGCCGAGTGCACTGTGCACTGACGCACGTGAGGGCGCTTCCGCCGCTCCGCATCATCCGCTTTGGCCGATCTTTGCCCGCGGCATGAAGCCCAAGAAGCAGCACGAGGTCCGCGCGGTCTGCAACGTCGTCGGCGACTTGCTCGGTGCCCAGGCGGCCGCCAGCGTCGTCGTTGACCTGGGATCAGGCAAGGGCTACGTTCCGCAGTGGCTGGCAGCTGCGCTCGGCGCCACTGTCGTGTGTGTCGAGGGCGAGGCCGCGTACACCGCATCGGCCAAGAAGCGGTTGGCCAAGATCGTGGCCCAGATCGCCAAGCGTGAGCCCGACCGCGCTGCCGCGCTCGACGCAGCCGTCCACCACGTGGTCGCCCGGCTTGAGCCGGACCAGCCGTGTCCGCCTCTCGTTCCCGACACTCTGGCCAGCGCTGCGTCGACCACTGTCCTCATGGGCCTGCACACCTGCGGCGATTTGGCTGCCACCGTCATGCGGTCGTACGTGGCGTCGTCATTTCATGCTCTCGCTCTTGCCCCGTGCTGCTACAACTTGCGGACCGAGGCCGGCTTTCCTCTCTCGATCGGTGTCGGTGCCCCGCTCGCCGACGCCGGTGTGGTCATCGGTGGCAACGAGCGCAACACATCTGTCCACTGCGTCCACAAGTGGGCCGACGCCCAGTTTCGTGAGAATGAGCTCGTCGATCGCATTGAGGCCTTGTTTGTCCGCGCTGCTGCCGGCTACATGGCAACAGCTGCCGCCGCCAGCACCTCCGCACCACTGCCAAGCGGTTCGGCTGCCATCTGGCGCGACGACGCACTCGCCACCGCCCGCCGCCTCGCGCCGGACGCCGATCCCACGCACCTCGCAGCGCACTACGACTCTCTGGTCTCTGCCGCCGGTGGGAGCGAAGAGCTCGCTTTTGCCCGCTATTCCGCCCTCTACACTCTGCTCAACGTCCTCGCACCCGTCCTCGAGATGATGTTTCTCGTCGACGGTGCCGCCTACCTACACGAAGCCGGCATCCATGCCCAAGTCCGTGAAGTATTCGACGGCATCCTCTCGCCACGAGCCCACATGATCATCGCCCGTCGATCGCCACAAGCGCCGCCGCACCTACCTAGCCTGGCTGCTGGCAGAGTGACGTCCGAGTCATAGCTGGCTGGCTGGCTCCCCACTCTCCCCGCCAAAAAAACCGCTCCGTCGGCGCGTGCTCGCGGCACGTGACCGAAGCGCTGACCACCACCACGCGCTCCTCACGCTCCACCCACGTCAGACTCGACTCTTCTTTCGGATTTGTGGACCACATGCTCATGACTGTGGGAAAGACCTGGCTGGTGCTGTGTGTGGCGGTGGCGGTGGTGGCATGCGGTGTGCTGCCTGTGGCCTCTGGCCTGCCTGACTCGGTGGTGGACGCTCTTGCCCGCGCCCCGTTCCACGTCGATGCCGAATCGCTGCTGTCGCCGCCTGGCGAGCTGGTCATGGACGTCCACAACGAGTACCCGTGGCTCAACGCCGAAGAGGCCGAGGCCGTCGCGAGCCTCATGTTCAACCGCAAGCTCCTTGCGCCCGAGGAGGAGGAGGCCGCCGTCGCGCCTACCGAGGCGATGCCGTCGCTCTCGGCGGCCATCAACTGCCCGCGGCTGACGCCGCGTGCGCCGCCGGCGGACGTCGGCTCGGTCAAGCCGGTCGACATTGTGGCCATGGGCGCCATCGGCGACTCGTACACCACGGCGTCCAACGCCAAGTCGTCCAACTGGCTCAACATGAAGTGGTATCCGGGCCTGTCGTGGGCCATGGGCGCCGACGCCGACACGGTCACAGCCTTCAACATCATGAGGGCTGTGGCCCGCCCGGACGTGGCCGGCGGCTCGATCGGCGTCGGTGATGCTTCCTCGAACATGTTTAACAACCGCGCCGTCGGCGGCGCGATTGTGCAGGACATGGTGGCCCAGGCTAACGAGCTTGTGGCCACCTTCAAGTCGTCCATGAACACCACCCAGTACGTCAACGGGTGGAAGACCGTCAACGTGTTCATCGGCGGCAACAACCTGTGCAAGGTCTGCGACTCGTACTCGAGCAACTCGCCGCCGGTGTACGAGGACAACCTCCGCGCCGCGCTCAACGTTCTGGCCACCATCCCGCGGTCGATTGTGTCGGTCGTGCCCATCCTCGACGGCACGCAGCTCCGCCACTTCCCGGGCCCGCTCAACAAGATTGCGCTCGGCATCGTCTGCCCGTGCTTTGCCGGCACCAACTCGGACAAGATCGCCGCCACCCAAAAGGCCATTAACGAGTACAACGACATCATGGCCTCGCTCGTCGACGAGTTTAACGCCAAGACCGGTGCCGACCAGGCCTTTGTCATCCAGCCCTTCCTCGTCGGCTTTGAGCTCCCGTCCGGCAACGCTGGCAAGGCCTACCTCTGCACTGCTGACTCGTTCCATCCCTCACCGCTCGGCCACGCCCTCTTTGGCACCGGCCTGTGGAACAACATGATCGAGCCCGTCGGCGCCAAGTCGCGCCTCTCGACCTCGACCACCATCAAGTGCCCAACCGACGCCGACTTTATCTACACGCCCAAGTCGACGTAGCTAGCTTGCCCACTCACGTTCGTTCTTTCTTTCTCTCTTTCTCTCCACCAGCAAACATCACATTCATACCCGCACTCATTTACTCTTTGCTTTGTCGTGGCAACCTACATCCGCGACACAAGCGCGTCGTCGTGGACCAGGTTGTCAAAGAGCGTCGACGGCGCGGCACCCTCAAAGCAGATGGCATTGATGGCGGTGAAGAGCGGAAAGTTGCCGCGGGCGCCGGCCTTATCGATGGCCTTTATCACCTCGATGGTGGTGAGCGTGCCCTGCAGCTTCTGTCCACCGAGCAGCTCGGCCTCGAGCTCGTCCCAGCTCTTGCCCGACGCCACAAAGGCCTCGGCGCACTTGCGGTTGCGCCCGCCGTAGCAGGTGGTGATGAGATCGGCAAGGCCGCACGACTCAAAGTACGTCGTCAGCTCACCGGCACCGTTGAAAAAGGTCTGGGTAAACTGGCGCATCTCGAGCAGGCCGATGCGGATGACTGCAGCCTTGGTGTTGTTGCCGAGCTTGAGCCCGTCGCAAAAGCCGGCGCCGAGCGCCACAACGTTCTTGATAGCGCCGCAGAGCTCGACCGCCACCGGATCCGGCACAATGGCGACCCGAAAGTACTTGGTCTGGAACAGCCGGCACCAGAGCTTGCCGTTCGCCTCGTGGTGGTACCCGATGGTTGTCTCGGAAAACTCCTCGCGCGCCACCTCGTTGGCGATGTTGGCGCCCATCAGGACCGCGCACGGCATGCCCAGCTGTGCCGTGATGTACTCGGAGAGCAGGACAATGCCATCGTCGTCGACGTCAAAGCCCTTGATGAGCGTGATTGCCCGTGCACCCGGCGCCGCCGCGTCCTTGATCGACGCGCAAAGCCGCGGGAGGAACTGGTGCGGGAGGCAGAAGATGAGCAGCGTCGCGCCGGACACCGCTGCCGCTGCATCCGGCACCGCCACCAAGTTCTCCGGCAGCTTCACCCCGGGCAGGTACTTGGGGTTCTCGTGATCCTCGTTGATGATCTCGGTCAGCTTGCGCCCGTCCACCTGCTCCTCAAACACCCACATGTTGACCTCGCTGGCCACATCATCCAGCCGCGCAGCATTCGACGCCACGATCTTCCCCGCCGTCGAGCCCCAGTTGCCCGATCCCAGCACGCAAACCTTTTCCATCGTAGCAGCCATTATGTCTGTCGCCCGGTGCACACACAGCGCCAGCACCACCACCACCACCACCACCCCCCCGTTCCCCGTCCCGTCGTCCGCCATAAGTGCCGTCCTTCCGACCACATACACACACATGTACACACACTCTCTCTCCCTCCCTCCCTCCCCCTCTCATTACCCCGTACCACAGTCAAGTTCAGTGGTGCAGCCTCGTCCGTCTCGCCGTTCAAACCTGGTGTGCCTGGGGCTTTGCCGCCTCGTCTGCTGTTTGACGAGTTGTTTTTGTTCGTTTCGGCGGTGGTTGCCCACGTGGCAGGCCTGGGCCAGACCATCATGGGCCAGACTGAGGGGCCGCCGCTTGGGCGAGAAACAATCCGGCAGTCCATCAGTCTGCCGATATTCCTTTTCCAGTCTCCTTGCGGCACTGTCGATGTGACGCTGCTACCCTCATCGCTTGACGTGGCCGCGATACTTGACGCTGCCTCGGAGAAGCTTGTCGCGGAGTGCCTGCTCACGGGCGGCCTCGGCGGCGCGGGCATCCTCAATCGCTCGCTCTTCATCAATGACGTCGTCGATGACCCGGGTAGTCTCATCGTCGATAATGCCGGCCAGCATTTTGGTGAGCGGAACAAGGTCGGCGACAGGCACGAACCACTCGATGACGTTGTCGAGAAGGAGCTCGCCGACCACGGTGCGCATCTGCGCCAGCAGGCCGTTTTCGTCCTCATCGGTGTGAACTCGGTACGGATCGTGCTGGTGAAAGATGCGGTTCGACTCGAGGGCAGCGCCAGCAAACTGGTGGATGACATGCTCCTCAGTTCGAATGTGGTCGACGAGAAAGGCCCGGATCTTCGACACTTCATCGGCCCGAGGCTGGAGCGTGTACCGCGGCATCGACTCGTCTGCCTGTGCCAACATCGTCGCCGGAAGCAGCGCCGCCCCGCCCAGCCCGGTCAGTGCCTCCAATCGCAGCGTATTGAGCCGCCGCTCCGAGAGCATCGAGTCAACCGACCTCGCCTCGGACTCGGCGTCATAGTACGAATCGTACGAGTCGTACGAGTCGTCCGAGTCGTACAGTTCGTACGAGTCGATCGACAGTCGCCGAACCACGCTCGCTGAAGAGTACCTTGTCGTCGTCGACGACTCGGGGCTAAGCGCTCGCGACGCCGCCACCGCATCTGCGGCTCGGCGCGCTCGTCCGCCTGCACGTGACCGGCGCACCTTGCGCCGCCCGCGTTCCCGTGCCACGCTTCGGCGTGCCACCATCATGATCCCGCCCACAGCCACCATCGGCTCTGCACCTTCGTCTTGCAGCAGCTTTTGCTGCTGTTGAGCCTTGGCGTCCAGCTGCGAGTGCCGCAGTTGAAAGTGCTCCTTGGTCACGATCGTCGGTCGCCGCCCGAGCGCTACCTTGAGCTGGACTTCGATCGCCCGTCGCTGCTCCTCGTGTGCCGTCCGCAGCGCTGTCATCTGAGTCGACGACTTGTTCGTCGGCGACGTCGTGTCCAGCGATTCGAACAGCGCGTCGGCGTGTGCGTTGGCCTCAAGCATCGAAACCGACGGTGAGACCTTGAGTCCCTCCAGCCACCGGACCGACTTGCGCGATCGCCCGCGCCGCAACGCGGGAGTTGTGAGCGTCCGCTCTGGAGCTGCGTGTCGCGTCTTGCTCTCAGCCTGTGGCGACCCGGTACTCGACGTTGAGCTCGAGGCATCGTCGTCGGAGAGCGGCCCGGGCCCAATGCTCGCGCCACTCGGATCGACGCCGTACCGTGCCAGCTCAGCCTCGACTTCCGAGTCGAGATCAGTCGAGGCGCTCGAGACCTCCGTAGCGTTGCTACCGTTTGACTCGGCCTCCACTAGCAGGACGTCCCGCGCATCGTCCTCCACCGGCAGAATGAGCGGGTCTGTTCGTGCCGCAATGAGCAGTCTGCGAACGGCAAAGACGTCGAGCTCGACAAGCGCGCCGCCGAGTACCGGATAGCCAGGACGGAGGCGGGCGATGACAGAGGCAGGCAGAAACCGGTCAGCCATTCGTGCCACTCGCCGCTTCATCCTCCGAGCGTCGCGGCTCTTGTGCGAGCGGCCCATGGGGCCGACCGACCGCTGCGTCTGCGACCGCATCGCGGCCAACAGCAGCGCCCGCATCTCGGGCGTGTCGCCAAGTGAAAACAGCATCATTCCCGCCAGCTTGGCTTTCTCGTTGGCTACCGCCGCATGTTCGACGCCATGAATCGCTACCAGCGCGGCGATGGCCTTCTCACTCGCCTCGATGGCGGCGGCAAAGTGGGCCTTGATCCACTCGCCTTGCGCCCGGACAAGCGCCGCGCTAGCCACCAGCGGCGAGACCTGCGGCAGTATATTGGTGTGCGCATCCATCAGCGCCTCAAACTCGGCCACCAGCGCCAGTGCCTCATCGGCATCGCCGTCGGCGAGTGCCACCTTGGCCCCATCGACCAGCGCCTCGGGCAGCGAGAGCAGCGCAATGGTCAGCGGCCCGCTCTCGCTATGCAGCCGCCGCAGCGCCTCTATCCGTTCCCGTGCATACCGCCGTGTGGTCTTCACCCACGTCCGCCACTCCTGCCGCCGGCTGCTGTGTGCCATGGCGTCGGCGAGGTGAGGTGTCCGGCGCTGCCGTGGTGGCGCCCACGAGTCCCGCGTCGCACCTGCTCCGACTGCGTGGGCGAGTTTACTCGTCACTCGCGCGCCCTTTCTCGCCGCTGCCTCGCGTTCCGTTGCTGGTCGATGCAAGCTCATGCCGTCTGCGCCTGTTGCGCCGCCGCGACGTGGCTATCGAATCAGTTTGTGCGCGGAGGCGGAGGGCGCGCTCGTGTCGCCGGCCGCGGGTGTTGGGTCCAAGCTGCAGTGCGTCAAGAATGTCCGCGTTGGCGAGGCCGGACGCCAGCCGGACGTCCGAGCCGCCCGACGAGATCTTACGTGACGTTGCCCTGTTTTGCAACATCAGGATGTCGGGCGAGTCGGGCGTGACAAGCTGGGTCTGTAGCTCGCGCTCTTGGACTGCAAGCTGGGCCATGGCCTCGTTGGCGCGGTTGGAGAGTTTGCGGATCGCGGCCCGCGACGTCGACGACGCGCTCGGTGCATCACTGCTGGTACACTCGCCCGAGGCCGGCCGGCCGGCATCACCTTTGCTTGCACCGTACGTCAACTCCGAGCCAAGCACAACCTGCGCGCCAGCGTCGGCGGCAGCGTCGACCACATCGCGCATCCGCCAGGTCCGGGCGATGTTGGACGTCGCCGACTCGGCCGACGCCGAGCTGCCCACGCTCGCCATCCACTGCGAGAGCGAGGCGATGGAGAACCGGGCCTGGTTACCGATCACAAACTCGGCGCCACCAAGCTCAATATGCGAGGTCTCGCCTGGGCCGATGTGACGGACTGGGCGGGCTTCGAGCGACGCGCCGTCAGGCACCCCATCCTTGACCATGACCACGTTCTTGCCCGAAACGTTGCGGAGCGCGGCCGCGCCACCGGCAACCTCCAGCTCGACATGATTCTTTGAGACTGCACTGTCGGCGCGGAGCGAAATGGTGGAACTCCGCGAGCGACCGACCGTCAATCGCGGCGGCGCATACGGGCGCGCAGCGGAGTCGTCGGGCGCAGCGTCGACAACGACAAACGTCTCGCCGGTCGGGCTCTGCAGCACGATGCCGTACACCCGACCCGTCGCCGCCCGCTGCTTGAGCACCCGTCGCTTGGCGCGCAGCTGTCGCCGCTCCGTCTTTTCATGCGCAAACGCCCGCCCATAGTACCACCTGAACAGCAGGTCAAAGTAGGTCTCGGGCGCCGCCGTCGCCTTGATATGTGTGGGAAAGGCCGACGCCGCCGAGACCAGAACCGCCGCCAGCTCGGTTGCCGGCGTAAAGGCATCGACCGCATCCGACGCGCGCCGCACCGCAGGCGCCCATCCAGTCACAATTCGGGTCCGCAGCGGCGCCATGTGGGTCACCTGCTTGAGCGTCGCCGTCAGCAACCCGCGGACGGCAGCCAGCCGGGCCTCTTCGGCGTCGACAACCGCAGCAAAGACGCCTGGAGAAAACGAGTCGACGTCGATCCGTGCCGCCTTGGGCGAGACCTCGCCAGCAGCCTTGGCCGCCTCGGCCAGAACCGGCAGGTGCAGGCCAACCAGTCCTGCCTTGGCTGCCCTCGCGCTGTCCAGGTGCGCCGCCGCCAGCGAGTCGACCAGCGCCACCACGCTCGCCACCGCCACCGGCTCCGGCCATCCATCCTCGTCCACCACCTCGCCTTCTCGCACGCTCTGTCCTTCCCTCGCCCGCAGCAGCTCCAGCTCGGCTGTGTATTGCTCAGCAAGACTCGCCAGCTGCGCCGCGTACGCCGCCTGTGCCTCTGCCAGCGACGACGCCAGCGACGCCAGCAGCGACGAGCTCGCCAGACCAGCCCGCGTGCGGGCCGCCACCACGGGTGTTGCCGCTAGTTGTGCCCCGGGTGAACCTGCAATGGTCCTTGCCTGCATCCTGCCTCCGCTGCGTCAGGTGTTGCTTGAGTGCGTGTGTACGTGTGTGTGTGTGTGTGTGCTGCACGGCTGCCACCGGTTCAAAACCTGCCGCAACCATTGCACGTCGCTACACTGCTACTGGCAGTCCATCGGCCCAGATTGACTCGCATGCGTATACATGAGGGTGGGTGGCTACCAAGCATGACGTCTTACTGTTCGTGCACGTGTACAGAGGGACTGTTCGTGCACGTGTACAGAGGAAGGTAGAGTGCTTGGTTGCGGGGTGAGAGGGGGATGACTCAGACACAGATCGCGCCCTTGTGGACGACAAGAAGGCAGAAGAGAAGAAAAGGGCCTGCAAGAAGAGCCTCAAACACCACGTGTGCGATGCGCCCGCATGCAGATGTACCTGTCGGTGCCGTATTGGGTGGGTGGCCCTCGAGGATAAGGTGGCCAACAGCAAACTGCAGACTCCCAGCCGCCAGCCACATCGCGGCAGCAGGCATCACGCCCATGCCTCCGATGGCCCATGCCAGAGTCCAGAGCGGCGCAAGGATAGTGGCAACATACGCCGCCGCAGCTCCCGTGCCTTCCATCGTCGCAGCCGACAAGCCCGCCGCACCCACGTACGCTGCCGTGCCCCACCACGGCAACGCCGCAACAAGAGCAAAGATCTGCAGCGGAAACGTCACCGCGTGCAGGCCAAGGTTACCAGGATGACAATGCTCACTAGCAAAGGTGGTCACTGTCCCAGATACGCCCACGATGGCGCGCCCTGGGCCCCGGCGAGTGCCACACGTGTCCGACACGCCGTCTAACTGCATCACCATCGCCAGCCGGACTCTACTTGCAAGGCTGTCACGCCCACAGCTGTAGTCGCTACCCTATCGCCACCGCTCACAGCTGCCGTCACCACCGCCCACAGCTATATCGATGACAACTGAAGCGCAGTATGCTCGCTTGTCGCCAATTGCCTGTCGCTCGTCGCCCTCGCCACCATCCGCAATGGCAAGTCAAGCCGGCTGATGTTCGGAGAGAATACCTGGAACAGACGCCAGACACGGCCACTGCCACCGCCACCGCTACCACCACCGCCACCGCGACACTGCTACGCAACTGACTCTGGGTCACTACTTGACTCTCGCGTCTATGGAGCTTCAGCTTGACCTCCCGGGGACGACGCATGCGCTTGTGTCGTACCCGCCAGCTAACCCAGCGGCGGTGCCGCGGTCGGTCCGTCGCCTGGCCGAGGTCACGCTGCCCACCTGTCGGCAGTACCTGGTGCATGACGTGCCAGGCGTCCTCCTCGCCATCTCGTATGTGTTCCCGGCTGCGCCGGCGGGGCCCAAGACGGGACTGTACTCGGGCTCGGGCTCGCATGACGTGCTGGCGGAGGATCTGGCTGATGCCGTCATCGATCCGGCTCATCGCCTCTACGCCGCCCTCCCGCCCGCCGACTGGGCCACCTCGGTCTATTACATCTACCTTCTCAACGTATGGGGTCGCATCGGTGGCTTTGACGCAGTCGTCGACAGGCTCCGCTCTGAGTCGAGCCCTTCACTCTCGGTCGTCTTTCTCCTGCTCAAGCCTATTGTCGCCGCCGCGCCGTTCTTCACGGCAGCGTTCTGGACCGCCTACTATCCCGCCCTCGCCCAGGGCATCCTCGCAGCACTTGAGGCTGCATCGAACGCTGCACTTGATCCGCTCTTTGCCGAAGTTGCTGCCCAGCTGGCGGCGCTCGACACAGCTGCCCTCGAGTCGGTCGAGCTCGCCTCGATTGTTCCGGCGCTTACTGCGCTCAGGCTGACCATCGCCGCCCGTCCGCTGCTGGCAGCAACGACGCCGCTCCCACCGCTTGCCGCCCGCCTCGCCGCCATCGACGACCTTGTCCGCCTTGTCGACGTCCTTGACGAGGCGTCGGCGCCGGCGACGACCGCCGCCGAGTTTCTGGCCAACCCGGCGCTACTCGCTGCCACCCACGACCACGCCTCGCTGCTGACGGCCGCCTCGCCGCTCTTTGTCTTCCTCGCCTCGATGGGCGAACTTCAGCTTGTCCCGCTGCAGGCCCTAGTCCGAGTCGGGAGCCCGGCGAGCTATGCGCTGCTAGCCACGCTTGCGCCGGTCGTCGACGTTGGACTCGCCCGTGCTCTCCTCGCCTCTCTCGCCACCGAGCACCCGGCAAGCCAGTGGACAGAGTCGCTAGTCGGCCTCGCAGCTGCGCTGGGCGCCGATGCTGAAACTTACTTTGGTCTTATCGCATCCGCCACTCCGCCACCGCATCATGCCCGCTCTCTACCCGCTCTCGCTGCCGCACTCGCCGACGCGCCCAAGGGCACGCCCGCTACGCTGTTTCTCCGTGCCATCAACGGCCCCTCGCACGGGCTCATGCTCGATACTGTTCGCCTTCTCCTAGACGCGCCAGGTGTGATCAAGAAGCTTAATGCGCGGAACGCGCTGACCCTGTGGAACACGTTCTATCCCGCGCATCCGGAGGAGACGCTCGCCGTCTTTGATGGCGTCCGCGAAACAGCTGCACGCTCGGTCCTGGATGCCATTCCGCTCCCATCTGCGGCGTTGCATCACCCGTCGGCGCTGTCGCTTTACGCGGCACATGCGGGATCGGCTGTTCGCGCCGACTTCCTCTTCAGGGTTGTTGCCAGCTCGGTCGCAGGTGAGCCTCTATGGAAGGAGGCAATCGCTGTCCTTCGCAGCCACCTCCGCAGCCTCGCTGGCTCCAAGACCAAGAAGCTCCGTGGGTTTGCGGACGCGGCGCTTACGTTTGTAGATGGCGCTACGCCCGGCTCGGCGTCGGTTCTCCAAGCGCTCCACACGGTGCTTGCCGACGACGATGCGCGCAGCCAAGGCCTCGCTGGTCCACCAACAGTCATCAAGTGCTTGGTTCTCCCGCCGGCAGAGCGCGCGCTGCAGATTTCGCTCTCGCGGACCGCACTGCTCTCTGCGCTCCGCGCCGCACTCGCCACCCGCCTCCGCCTGCCCAAGCGCGGCTTTGCACTTGTTGCCCATGCTGCCGAGCTGCCGACGTTGGCCGACAGCACTCCGCTTGATGCGCTTGGCCTCAGCGACGGCGCTGCAACCGTGTATGTCGTACCTCGTGAGGGCAAGGCAGCCAGCACTGGACAGGGCGTGGCTCTGGCAAAGGCAAGCGAGAAAGGAAAGACCGAGACCAAGGCCGACAGCGTTGCGTCCGACGATGCCGACGACAGCGTCGACGACGACCAAGCTTCGGCTGCCAGCCACGGATGGTTTGGCGACGACGATGACGGCAGCGACGATGATGCCGATGATGAGGGCCGCCAAGCGCTGCGTGCCGCGTTTTCGCATCCATCGTACGTCACGGTCCTCCTCTCGCTGCTTGAGGTCGACGAGGGGACAGTAGCTGGAGCACAAGTCTCGCGCGCTGCCTTTGAGCTGCTCCTGCTCATTCCTCCGGTCGACGGAGAGTCAAGTGAGGAGAGCGTATGGGAGGTGGCGCTCCGCGAAGCGTATCGGGCAGCGTATGTGCTGCATCATCAGGCTAGCCACATGGCGACAGAAGCTTTTCTGGACGGCGGCCATGCACCTGCAGCACTGCGACTCCTTGTTTCGCTCTCACTAGAGATGGCCGGCACAGAGCCCGAGGCATCACTCTGGGCGCTTGCCGGGGCGCTGCTCCGGCTGCTCTCGACGGTAACGCTCGCATCAACGGCATCGCGATCGCCGGTGGCGTCGTCGCTGCGGTGTTTGCTCCCGGTGGCCTCGATGGGGCTGATGGCGGCCGGGCCGAGGTCGGTACTCCCGCGGTTCCGCGCCGACGTTGTGGCAGCGGCCGGCGTCGAGGCCGAACTCCTTGCAGGTGCGGTTGTCCGGGTCCTGCTCGCGTACGCGCAGCAAGAACAGCTTGGCGCGTCGGGCCTCGCTGCAGTGCAGAACTCGGCGCTCCTCCTTGGGGCACTGGCGTTTGAGACGCCACTTGTGGGCCATCTCGATGCAGCGACGCTCACAGAGCTGCTGCTCCGTGGGGCCAGTGCCGATTTCCGTAAGGCCATGGTCTCGGGCTTGTTCTCGGTGTGCGCGGTCCAGCGTGAAGTTCTTGATGTGGTGCTCGACGTGGTGCTGGTGTCCGAGACGCTCAACGCGGTTCCGGACCAGGTTGACGCGTTTTTCGAGCTGGTATCCGCGCTGGTTGAGGACCCGTCATTTGTGCGCGAGCACGAGGTGGGTGTGCTGGTTGACCTTGTGCTCGCCGCGCTCTCCGAAGGTGAGCCCCACATTGAGCATGAGTCCGTGCTCCGCGGCTGGCTCCGGATTGGGACTGCGCTAGCGGCAATTCAGCCATCGGTCGAGCTCCTCCGTGACGTGTTTGATGGGGTGCTGTTTGGCCGGCGGGCGCGGGCGCGCGAGCCGGCCACCCGAGCTCAAGGTTTTGCGCTTCTGCACTCGCTGGTCCGCGCGGATCCCGAGCGCGCCTTTCCGTTTGTCAACGGCGCCCTGCAGAGCGTGCTGGCCGAGGCGAGCCAGCTCCGCGGCTGGGACTACTGCGCGAGTGATATGCGCCGTGAACCCGGATGCCAGGTCGGACTCGTCAATCAGGGCGCGACGTGCTACATCAACGCGTCGCTGCAGCAGCTGTTTGCCATTCCGGAGCTGCGTGAGGGCGTGCTCGACGCGAGCGTCGATCCGCAGGCAGAGGCCGCCGACCATGTCCAGGCCCTCCGGCGGGTATTTGCGGCACTCGCCGGCACCGAGGCGCGATTCTATGATCCGATCGGCTTTTGCCGAACCTGCCGCGACATCACTGGTGAGGTCATCGACCTCGGCGAGCAGCAGGATGCCAACGAGTTCCTCAACTTGCTGTTCGACAAGCTCGATTCGGGCCTTGTGGATGCCAGCGGGCGGCGCGGACACCTGCTCCCGCATCTGTTCCAAGGCGAACTGCGGCACTCTGTCGAGTGCTCGGTCTGCGCATCGTCGTTTGAGCGGACAGAGCCGTTCTATTCGCTCTCTGTCGAGATCAAGGGCCAGTCGTGCCTGGCCGGCTCTCTGGGTGCCATGGACGCGCCAGAGCATCTGACCGGTGACAACCGATACTTTTGCTCACGGTGCGACGGTTATGTTGACGCCGAGAAGCGGGTGCGGGTCGGTAAGCTCCCGCACTATGCGCTGCTTCACCTCAAGCGGATGGAGTTTGACATGCGAAGCATGCGCAACGTCAAGATCTCGTCGCGGTTCGAGTTTCCCCGCGCCGGCGACGGCCTGCTTGTCGGCTACGAGCTGACAGGCGTAGTGGTTCATGCCGGCACCGCCGACGCCGGGCACTACTACTCGTACCTGCGCAGCGACACCGGGACTTGGTCCGAGTACAACGACACCAGCGTGCACCCGGTGGCGTGGAACGAGATCGAGGACGAGGTCTTTGGCGGCGACGGCCGCTCAGCGTCGGCGTACATTCTCGTCTACCGCAGCACGGCGCCGCTGGCAGCCGCCAGCTCTGCGACGGGCCCATCCACAACCGCCGACGCCGAGAGCGTCTCGGATAACGGCAGCTCCAACTCTGAGACCTCGACTGACTCGTATGCGTCGAGCAGCTCCAGCTCGAGTGAGACCGATTCTGGGTCGAGCGACAGCGAGTCTGGCGATCTGGTGGTGGCGCGGCACGAGCCGACCGCGTCGCTGGGCAGTGCCGTCCGGGCCGTGGCCTTTGTCAACAAGCTCAAGCGAGCGCGTCGGGCAGTCGATCCAGTCGACGAGCCTCTCAGCGACGGCGAGAGTGACACCGAAGCCCGACAGCCAGAGCAGCAGCAGCGCCGCCGCCGCCGCCGCCGCCGCCGCCGCCGGTGCTCGGTCTCCCCGGCTGGTGACGGCAGTGGGCCGCGCGAGGCACTTGAAGGCGAGGTGGCCTCGGAGAACCGTCGTCTTGCGGCGTTCCGCGCACTGTTTGAACCGGGCTTCTTTGGCTTTATGTGGGAGCTGAGCCATGTCGAGGTCGGCAACGAGGATGATGCCGCGGCGCTGGCAGGACTTGAGTGGCGATTTGTGAGCCAAGTACTGGCGCGCGCGCGGGGTCACCCGCTCGTAGAGCTGTGGGGCGAGCAGCTGGTAGCGCAGGCTGTGTCGAGTGCCGCAGTCCGAGCTGAACTGGTAGAACGCTGGACGAGCGCGCACGGCTGGGATGAGGTGGTGGCACTCACACTGGTGTGTCCTGCGGCCAAGGTGCGGCGGAGCATCGGCCTGGCGGTGGCCAATGTCTTGGGCTTGCTCAAGCACACCGATGCAAGTTGGCGAGCTGTGGCCGGGCGGATGGCTGCGCTTGTGCCGTCTGTGGAGGCTTACAACAAGCGGCGGTGGGGCGAGTTTGTGCACATGGCGTGCTCGACGGCTGCGGGCAGCCGGCGGAAGCTGGAAGTTGCCGTAGGCGAGTGGGGCGTGGCCGATGCTGTTGTGCGAGTGGTAGTCGGCTCGCGGCGGGCGGCGATGCGGGCACCCAATCCCGAGGGCGTGCGCGGTCTGTTGGCGATTGCAATGGCCGGGCGCGGAGCCGAAGGCGGCGCGCATGAAGTGCTGACCTCTTACGCGCTGCTGGCCAAGCTTGCGCAGCAGGGCGCGCCGACCGCCGAGGTGTGCGCGCTCATCGGCGCCGTCGCGCACGAGAGTGCCGTGGCGAGCGAGGAGCTTGTGAGCCACGCGGCGCGGCTGCTGGATGCTGTTGGCAACACTGAAGGTGCTCTTGTGGCGGTCTCGAGCGTGCTACTGGCGATTGCGGCGGTCGACGACGGGCTCGCCGAGTGGCGGCGCGATGTATGGGCGCGCGAGCTGGTGGCTGCACTGCAGCGCAACGCGCAGGCGCGGCGGAGTTGGATTCCGCGGTTTGTGGCCGACATCCTGGTTGCCGGCCTCGCCCGCAAGGAGGTCGGCAAGTGGGCCGAGAGTATCAACGGATGGATGGGGGCGTGGGTTCTTGTCGAGAGCCGCAAGGGGTGGAAGGTGAAGCGGATGCGGTCAGCAATGCGCGGCGGTGGCGCCGGCAGCAGTGCTGGAGGTGATGGCAGGCGGCACCGGCGATCGCGGCGATGGATCTAGCCGTTTGCGGTCGCGCAGTCGGTGCGCTCGCGCGCAGCTCCTCTGGCGGCGAGTGAGCGCCAAAGTGTCGTCCGCCTCTGCCCTCTCATCGCCAAGGAGTACAACGACCACATGGGCGGCGTCGACCTCAACCCGAAGACGCGCAAGTGGTGGCACGCCATCCTGTACTGGATTCTGGACGCCGCGTACGCGCTCTACGCTGACGCGAGCCCACGCCCCGCCATGATTCGCCTGCGTACAGCGTCCATCTCTGCATCGCCGACTGTTTTCTGTTGTGGCAGCCACTAACACATTGTACTACTCTTTTACCGCGATTGATGGACGTTGCGACGTCTGTGGCGCGTCGCGGAGCGCGGCTTGCGCGATGGACATTCGTACCGTAAAGCTTGAAGCAGAGCCCTTGGCCACAGGGCAGTTATGCCTTTGCGACGGCCTTGCAGGCGGGCTTGTGGATCTTCCAGTGGGCGACTTGGCAGTCACGGGAGCAGTAGACGGTCTTCTTGCAGCGAGAGCAGCGCTTAAGGGCGGTGCCCTCGGCCATGAGGGTGCGGCACTTGGCGCAAGTCCGCTTGGCGCGGAGCTCGTTGTCGCGGCCCTGCTCGACGGCGAGGGCGTAACCGGTCCAGTTCCCGTTCTCGCCCAGGACGCCGAGCAGAGTCTGGCAGGCGTCGGCGAGGTCGCGGACGGCCGGCTCACGGGCACCGCGGTCACGGAGGGCGCGGATAAGGATGTAGGCCTCGCAAGTGATGAGGTCTTCGATGGTGGCAGTGGCGGTCGAGGCGGTCGGGGCGGCGCGGGCAGTGAGGGTGTTGGCGGCGGCGACACGCTGCTCCAGCGGCAGGGCGTCGTCCTTCATGACCAGCAGCAGCGGGTAGACGGCGTCAAAGAGCGGCATGGTGTCGGCATCCGCGCGCAGAGCTTCGATGGCACGCCAGCCGTCAAAGCAGTACGGCTTGCGCGGAGCAACAGCGCCGAGCTCGGCCACCAGATCAAAGGCCTCCAGATCGGCCAGGGCCGCTGCAGCATCGCCGACAGCGGTGGCGTAGGGCGCGTCGGCGCGGACAAACTGGCGCAGGGCCTTCTTGGCCACCACCAGCGACTTGAGCTTGGCCTTTTCCTTGTTACCCTTGGCGGTGGCAATGGCCGGGTCTGCGAGAAGGAAGGACGGTGAGGGAAGGGAGGGAAGGGGGGT